CAGAGACCGTTCGCCCTGCCCTATAGGGTTTCTGTAATTCAGCATCCACTCGATGGCAGTGAGCTTGGTTGTTTTGGATTTTCCCCCATTGCAGTGCTTTCCACTTGAGTCAGGAATCGGTTGGGCTTGTTTGGCTCCATTTCTGGGTTCTCTGTTCTATTCCATGTCCTCGATAAGGTTTCCGTGATCTCTGAGCCTCTCCATCTGCAAGTCCTACACAGGCTGGTTTTACTGTCACCATATACCTCTTGAAATCAATGGACAGATACCACCCACTTCAGTCTTCAAGATTGTTTTAGCTCTCTAGTCTCTTTTCCTTTCTGCACAACTTTTGGAAAGGTTTATCTGTATCAACAAAACAACTTGCTGATATTTTGATAAGAAATGTGTTAAGCCTATGGAGCAGAGAATTGATGTCTTGAGTATGCTAAATCCAGTCCATGAACATAGTATTCTCTCCATTTATATCTTCCTTAATTTCTTGCATCTGTATTGTGTAGTTTTCAGCATGTATATGTTTGTTGAATTTATACCCATTTCATTTTCTTTAGTGATACCAGGAAGTATTGTCTTTCCAATTATAGTGCCCGTGTGTCCATTACTAGTGCATAGCAATACCATTGGTTTGTGCATGTCCATCTCAAATCCCGTGTCCTCACTCATTTGTTCTAGCAGGTTTTGCTTGTTGGCTTTTTATAATCTCCACCGTCTTTTCTACATAGAGAATTGTGCCATCTGCAATAGGGACATTTTAAAATTTCTTCCCTTCTGATTTTTCTAATGCCTTTTGCTTCCTTTTCTCGCTGTATACCAGTGACTGGAAATTCCAGCAATGGTGAATGAATGTTTTTACCTTGTACCTCATTTTAGAGACAAAGCAGTCAGGGTTTTTTACTATTGAATACAATGTTAGCTGTAGGGTTTCTGTGCGTCCTCTTTAGCACCTTTTTCTTAAAGTACTGTGCAGCTCTCTTGCCTGGTGTGTAGTGGTTAGGCTGTCTTCTTGGGAGAATAGCCCTTTTATTGTTCCACAATGTTCCTCCGCTCGGGTCGTTTTCTCGGCTGTGAAGTCTAGTTTGCCTGATACCAATAAAGCCATGTTAGCTCTTTTCCCTCTTTTTACTGTCAATCTCCCTGTTTTGTTGTATTTGAAGTGAGTTTCTTGTAGACAACATTTAATTGGGGCATGTCTTTATAATATGTGTATACACCAATGTCTGTCTTCAAATTGAGGTAATTTACAATGACAGATATGTCAAGGCTTAAGTTTTCATTTCATTTCTTTATTTTGTCTATCTCTTCTGGGATTTTTTTTCCTTTTTCAACCTTCTTGTGGGTTACATAAATAAATCTACTTCAGAATTCGGTTTTGAGTTATCTATAGTGATTGACGAGGCGCCCTCGTGGCAGAGTGGCTATGCATTTGGGTTGCTAACTGCAAGGTTAACACCAACTGCTCCTGGGGAGAAAGATGAAGTTTTTCACTACAAATAAGAGTTACAGTGTCAGAAACTCACAGAGTCAGTTCTTCCTTGCCCTATAAGGTCGCTCTGAGGCGGCCAATGAGTGAGATAGGGTGTTTGTCTGGGTTGAGTAGAGAAACAAATCCAGAGACACTCATATGTGTATAGGAAAGAGCTTTATATAAATGAGCAATTGTGTGTTGAGAAGCATCCCAGCCCCGTCCAGATCTAGTCCATACGTCCGTGTGTCTGATACAAATCTATAAATTCAGGCAACTCATGCAACGACGCCGAATGCAGGAAGATCACAGGCCAGTGGGTGCAAAGTCTTGTGGATCCAGTGGCGGTAGAGGCATCTCAGCGCTGATGTGAGTCTCCATGTGGCTCCTTCAGCTCCAGGGCTCTAGCATAGCTACATATGTCTTGTCAGCAAGCATGCTTGGAGGGAGTGAGCCTGTGTCCTGCCTCCAGCGAGCTATTTATCCCTTAGTGCTTCCAAATGAGGTCATCAAACTGCAACCTGAATGACAGGCTACTCCACCCCTTCACTCTTTAGTCTCAAATTGACAACAGATTATATAACTACCACACATAGTGTGGTTTTTTTCTTAAATCATTTTATTGGGGGCGCGTACAACTCTTATCACAATCCGTACATACATCCATTATGTCAAGCACATTTGTACATTTGTTGCCATCATCATTCTCAAAACATTTGCCTTCTACTTTAGCCCTTAATATGGGCTCCCCCCCATGAAACCTTATTAATTCATAAATTATTATTTTGTCATATGTTACACTGTCCGACGTCTCCCCGCACCCTCTTCTCTGCTGTCCATCCCCCAGGGACAAGGCTATACGTAGATTCTTGTAATCGGTTCAGATAGTGTTTTATAGTGCATATTTTTAGCCTTTTTGGTGCTTGCTCTGGTCAATACCAGCTAATATATATATATATATATATATTACTATTGCTGCTGTGGCTCCAGTTTCTACGTGTTCTTAGTCTGGAAGGTCCACTGAAACCGACCCACCTTGGGTGACCCTGCTGGTATTTGCAATACCAGTGACATGGCTGCCAGCAATAACAGCAGCGTACAAAGACAACAGCAGGACAACCTGACAGACAAGTATGCTTGCTGAAACAACCTTGCTTGCCGAAGCAAGAGGGCACTGAAGATCTTGCTGGTGAAAATGAAGGATTTCAGCCTTCAATGTAGATTACGACTCAATGTAAGGAAGACCCAAATCCTCACAAGTGGATCAGTGGGTAACATCATGATAAAGGAGACAAACTTAATTGTCAAGGACTCTCCCTTTTGCTTGGATTCACAATCAGTGCTCATGGAAACAGCAGTCAAGAAATTAAATGGCATATTGCATTGCACAAATCTGCTGCACAAGATGTCTGTAAAGTGTTAAAGTGCAAGATGTTAGTCACTTTGAGGCTGAAGGTGTACCTGTCCCGGGAACGTGGTACTTTCAGACATCTCATATGCATGTGAAAGTTGGACGAGGAATAGGGGAGATTGAGGAAGAAATGATGCATTTGAAGTATTCCTGGTGAGGAATATTCACGGTACCCTGGACTGGCAGAAGCACACATATATCTGTCTTGGAAGAAGTCCAGCCAGAGTGCTCCTTAGAGGCGAGGATGGTAGGACTTCACATACTTTGGACATGTTGTCAGAAGATGGACATCAGGCTTGGGGTGTTCGGTTGGGTTGTCGAGAGAAGCAAAGCCAGTGGTCCTTATAAGTGTTTATACAGAAAGCTTTACTCCAAGGAATGGCTTACACAGTTATAAAAATAGTTAAGTCCCATCTGGTTCAAGTCAGGCTTCTCCTGACATGTGGAAGCTGATGAATAGGAAGCAGGATGATGAAGCAGGAACAGCAGGGGGCTCAGGCGGGTGGATGGAGAGATCCGATGTCAACCTAATGATTCCACCATCGGTATTCTACTGATGGCTCCTGGGAGCAGATGACACCACAGGAGATCAAAGAACCAGATGCAAGATCCAAGTCCAGCAGAAGGCAGAGTCCCAAGAGGATTCGACTCTGCTCCGGTCTCTCTCTCTCACAAAAAGGCTTTTGACACCAAGCAGGTGTCATTAGGCTATGATGCAATTGATGGGTTGAGCCCCGCCCCCACCATTGCCCAAGCGTGTCTGGTTGACCTAGCCCCCAACCATCACCTGGGTCCGACCATCCAGGAGATGGATTGACTCAGAGGCTGAAACCGTGGTTGAAACCTAGCGGCAGTGGTGAGGATGGGGCAGGACCCGGCAGCATTTGGTTCTGTTGTCCATGTGGCCGCTCTGAGTTGGAACTCTTTCCCTGGCACTGCACCAGTGACAAGAGGATGGTGTCGCTGTGATTTGTAACTGGCTCGACAGCCCCGAAACCCCTCAGTCATCTGGTAGGAGTTTCAGACAGTAGAGTCGAAGAGCCGTAGCAGCGGCACCCTGCACCGAACTGTGCCCTCCCTCCCTCCCTCCCTCCCTCCCTTCCTTCCTTCCTTCCTTCCTTCCTTCCTTCCTTCCTTCCTGCCAGGGCTTCCTTCCGCGCATCTCTTCTCACTCCTTTCTGTTTCAATAACTCTTTGGCCCTTCTTCTAGGATAGGTCTTGGCAGTATATTTTTTTTAAGTAAATCATTTTATTGGGGGCTCTTACAGCTCTTAAAACAATCCATACATCAATTGTATCACCTTCTTAGTATTCCTTCGTGTCTTGATTTCCTCTTCTTTACGGAAGGGTATTTTCTCTGGGGGGCATGCCATGCTGGACAGCAGTATGTTCTAGAGCAGGGGTCCTCAAACTTTTAAAACAGGGGGCCAGTTCACTGTCCCTCAGACCGTTGGAGGGCCGGACTATAGTTTTTTTAAAAAACTGAACAAATTCCTAGGCACACTGGTCAAGTCGGCTGCTAAGCAGGACAGGCAGCAGCGGCAAAATCACTTGGCGGGGACCCTCGACTCCTGCGCGGCAGCGCCGTTCCCCTGGGCGCGCCCTCGTCGCCGGCGCCGGCTCTCTCAGCCTCCTCCGCCGCGGCGGGCAGCAGACACCCCGGTGTATGCCCCAACCCTGACCCCACTCGCGACATGTCGACCCCGGCTCGGCGGCGGCGGCGTCTCATGAGGGACTTCAAGAGGTTGCAGGAGGACCCTCCGGCGGGAGTCAGCGGCGCTCCCTCGGAGAACAACATTATGGTGTGGAACGCGGTCATTTTCGGGCCTGAAGGGACCCCTTTTGAGGATGGGACATTTAAGCTAACAATAGAATTCACCGAGGAATATCCGAATAAACCACCTACAGTTAGATTTGTCTCTAAGATGTTTCATCCAAATGTCTATGCAGATGGTAGTATATGTCTGGACATACTTCAGAACCGCTGGAGCCCAACCTATGATGTGTCTTCAATTTTAACATCCATACAGTCTCTATTGGATGAGCCCAATCCCAATAGTCCTACAAACAGCCAGGCCGCTCAGCTGTACCAGGAGAACAAACGGGAATATGAAAAGCGTGTATCTGCGATAGTAGAACAGAGTTGGCGCGATTGTTGACCAGGTACAGTGAGAGAAGAAGCTGGTCATAAGAAAAATTATACATGATGTGTTTGTCACCTTTATTAAAAGAGAAATAGCTGTTGTGAAAAAAAAAAAATCACTTGGCGGGCCGTAGTTTGAGGACCCCTGTTCTAGAAAATGTATTTTCCATGTCTGAGTCTGGTTTTTGTTTATTTGTTTGTTTTTTGTTTCCCCTTTGTGAATTAATTCACAGGCCTCCTCAAAAGATGTTGTTAGGCAGCTGTGTCAAGAGAGTTATTCCAACCCATCGCATGACTCAAAAGAACTCCTGGATTTCACATGTTCCAGCTTGTCCGTGACTCAGGAGGAGGCGGCTCAGGTAAGTGCCGTCAGAAACGCCCGTGGAGCCCTGAGCCTTCTTTCCTTGTTAACCTCTGGACATCCAGTCCTTGCCGCATCCAAGGAAGTTACCCCACCGCCCAGATGTGCATTGGTGATACAGCAAATTGAAAGTCAATGCTGTTTGGAATCCGAGGGAATTAAGAACAGTTGTCTTTGGACCTCCCCTCTGGGGAAAGCGGTGTGGGTGGGAGTAGCCCTGGGCTCCTGGCATCCTGGACTCCCTGCAGATTGGTTACCTGGACAGTCTTTGGGAAGACACGCAGCTCGTGACTGTCTTCCCTCCTCGCCGACCTGCTAGTGCTGATCCACTGTCAGCCGGTCAGCTCAGGGCAAACTTTTCAGGGATCTTTGGGCAGCTGCTTCATCTCGGCCTGAAGGAGATGAGGCAGCATGAGAAGTCTTCCCTTTGTTCTCTCTGGGGTGTGGGGAGGAGGGGAGGGGACTTTCATACCAGAGTCTCTCCCTCCCTCCTCACCCCTCACCCCTTTGACATGGAATCCCCATCTGCTCCATTGGCCTCCTCTCAGCTGGGGGCCTGGAGCAGGAGTGAGGCGCCTCCTGTGGAGTTAGGGCGCCGTGCAGACAGCCAGAGGCACTCACCCACACCTGGTGAGACTCACTCAGTGCCTTGAAGGAGCCCTGGTAGCGTAGTGGGTTATGAGTTGGATGCTAACTGCAAGGTCAGCAGTTCAAACCAACCAGCCGCTCTGGGGGAGAAAGATGAGATTCTGCTCCCATAAAAATTGACAGCCTCTAAAACCCACAGGAGTGGTTCTCTTCTGTCCTATAGGGTCTCTGTGAGCTGGCACCGACTCTGTGCTAGTGAGTTTGGTTGGGGCTTTGAAGGCACCTTGAGAAAAGGAGCCCCGTTGGTGTGACAGTGAAACATTCAACTGCTGCCCATAGGTTGGTGGGTCAAACCCACCCAGCATCCTGCAGGAGAAAATTCACTGCCATTAAATCAACTCTGGCTTCTTCCATCCCTGACTGCAACTCATTACAGGAATGGAAAAACTCATCTCTCTCCTGGGAGTCCCTGGTGGATTCAAACTACTGACCTTGTGATTAGCAGCCCAGCGTGTAACCTCTGCGCCACCAACGCCCCATTGGCAGCAGAAAGGCCCAGCAATCTGCTTCTGTGGATCACAGCCCGGAACATCCAGTGGGGCAGTGACACTGCCACTGGGGGCTGCTGGGGGTCCGAATGGACCAAAGAGCCCCTGACAACACAAAGAAACCACACGCCCTCACCTCAGCATGCACACGGGAGGGGAGGCAGGCAGGCGCCGGGGTGTGCCCCTGCACGCCTCCCTGGGGCCGGGCCCACGTCCATGCATGGCCAACGAGCTCGCGTGGCATCAGAGATGCCCCGCAGCATCTGGAGGGTCTCCTGAGGCTCCGAGAGGCAGTCACACTCACAAGATGGCCATCATCACACATATGCCCGGGTCACGTAGAAGGCCGTAGGATGGGCAGCTTTCAACAGGGCGGCACCAGGCACTCATTCTTCCACCGACCGGAAGGCCTCCAGGCCACAGTCCACGTCGTGCTTTCCAGTGAAGGCTTAGGGACAGGGCATGGCGCTCCAACCACTGGCTTCACACCCAGACCCCCGAGCCCGGAGCACTGGTAGCAGTGCTCAGGAAGGACGGCGTCAGGTCCCCCCGGGAGCACATGCCCACACCCAAAGAGGCCCGGAGCTACGGGCCCCACCGGGTGTCTGTCCGATCTCCCAGTCCAGATAGACCCGTGTCAGCCCTGAGGCCTTGGGCCAGTGCAGCGGCCCCTGCTGACACGCTGACCGGGCACTTCTGCCAGGCCACTGGGGCAGAGCCCTAGAAAGATGCGAAGGGATGTTTTCACCCTTTTCCCATGCACTGAGGATGGGCAGCAGCTTCCCCCAGCAGCTACCTGCCCTTCTCTCCTGGGGCGACAGGTGAACGCAGGGTGAACCCAGCATGTGGGATGTCAGCAGCGTTGGCCACTGGGGCCTTGGGTCTCACCTGAGTCCGTTGAATAGCTGTGGTGGCCCGCCCAGCAGTGGAGAGTTAGAGCCCCGACCCCTGACCTCTGGCCCCTGCCCCCTGCCATGCTGTTCCTCACCAGCAGGGCGGTGCTGTGTGCCCCACAGCTCCTCCAGGCTCTGCACCAGCTCACGAGACTGGCGGTCTTCCGGGACCTGTCCTCCGCCCCCGAAATTCTGGCTCTCTTTCCTGAGAATTTCCACCCGAACCTCAAAAACCTGCTAACAAAAATCATCCTGGAGCACATGTAAGTGATGATTTCTTGAGTGTCCCTTCCGCTGGACTTCCATCTGTCCCTTCCTTCCTGGTATGCCCTGTCTACTCGGACGGGGCCTTGGCCTGCCCTTGCTTCCTTCTGACTCCCGGCTGCTGGCTGCAGCCTTCGCCAGGGCAGTTCAGCTGAGCAGCCATAGGAGGAGGACCAGTAAACCTAGTCTCTGTTTGGTCACTGAGAACAAGAGCACAGAGGACGGTGGTTTTGTGTTTGCTTGTTCCTGGGGCCAAGAAAACGCCCAACCCACAGCCCTTGGGCTTGGCCCCAGCCCACTGAGCCTATACGTGCAATGGAACCACTCAGAGGTGGGGCTCTGCCCGGGGGAGGGGTTGCAGGGCTGAAGGTCAAAGGAAGAGCCAGGTTCACATTCAGGGCTCTCTCCCAAGTCAGAAGAGTCAATTCCCATCAGTCCCCTTTGTTTCCCCTCCTCTCTCCCCCACAAGCAGATCTACATGGAGAACCGAAGCCCAGGCAAATCAGAGTGAGTACCAAGCAGCCCACCTGCTGCCGCCCCCTAGCTCACAGTCCACCTGGTGGCCAGTTGTTAACCCTTCTGTCCCAAACCACACAGGGCGTGTTGTGGGAATTGGGGGGGTGAGGGGGGGGGGAGGCGGGTAGTGTTGCATTCTACATTTTTACGTTTTAATTCTTCTGGTTGTAAACTTAGTACAGCGCATGCATGCTGCTGACAAAATACAGAAATAAGCAAGCAGAAAGTGAAGTGCTTAGCATTATATTTCATTTAGGAAAAAAAGGCTCCTTGCAGTTCATTTGAAAGGTGGAGTCACAGCACGTGCCTAGCACATTTCCCTGAGCAGTCACTGTGCTGCATACTGTGCTTGGAAGGCCCATTTCTCCTCCCCACAGCCCTGTACTGGAATGGGATCTTTCCCCTTTATAGATGAGGAAACTAAGGTTAGGTAAGTGGTAGAACTTCCATTTAAACCAAGTCTGTTTATAACTCAGAGTTATAAACAGGGTTCCCAGAACTCCGGCCCTGAGCTTGCCTCTCCTACCCTGTGTCCTTTCTCATTCTGTCCCAAAGGAGACAGACAGCAGGGGTGGGTGTTGGGCAGAAGCCCAGAGGTGCCTTCAGCTCTGAACCTGTCTGGAGCCATGCTGTGGGGCCAGGGCGGGTCTGTCTGTCAGCCGGAGCCTTGCTGGGCAGATTGAGGGAAGTCCAAGAGTGCGGCCGTGGAGGAGAGGTGACCGAGCCTGAGCGGGGCTTCCCTCCACAGTCTCCCTGCCACGCCTGGTCGACCTGGACTGGAGAGTGGACATCAAGACCTCCTCAGACAGCATCAGCCGCATGGCGGAGCCCACCTGCCTGCTCCAGATGAAGGTACGCAGACTGTGACGTGCACGAGGAAGGCACAGGGCCTGACCGGGCACCTCTGCAGACCATGAAAAGCTCCCACCCAACCCTTCGTGCTCTTGAACCCCTTAAATTATAGGCCCCCAAACTTCTGTGGCCTGCCCCCCCCTTACTGTAGCCAGAATAGGAGCCCTGGCGGTATAGTGATTACGCATTGGACTGCTGATTTCAAGGTCAGCAGAGGAAGCCCCCAGCCGCTCTGCAGGAGAAAGACCAGGCTTTCTACTCCTGTGAAAAGTTAGTCTTGGAAACCTATCGGGGCAGTTCTACTCTGTCCTACAGGGTCGCTCTGAGTCAGGGTCCACTTGATAGCAGTCAGGGTTCTTGGTACCATAGCCCATGATCCAGGATAAAGTGTAGGTGTCTGTTTTTACAGCCCCCCTGGATTGTTCCAGTGCCCCCCAGGAGGGGTGTAGTCCACTTTGGGAAGAACTGCCCTAAATGATAATCCAGGGGGCACCCCGACAAATACCTGCATGGGTACTCCCCAACTTAGGATGGGGCTCCATTCCAACAACCGTGTCATAGATCAGTTCTGATGTAAGTCAAGTGCTTGGTTCATTTTATAGTAGTCATAATGACTGCTTTAACTTAAATTTTATTTGTTATAAATTAATTCTATTGTAAATTAAACACCTAAATATAAGTTGAATTTTGTTAATTATCATTATCTTTATAAACCCAGTCTTTGCCCATTTAAGTGACGGATAATGATAACAGATCACGTGCTACAACATTCTACGTAATGCCCATTACAATAAGATGCCCGAAACCACAACAGGTGGCTGCGAATGTGGTTGTTCAACCTGAATATGTTCTACATCAGGGACCACCTGCGTGCCTTTCCATTATAAATGTGCTAGCGTATTCACATGTTGTGGGCACAACAGAATATGGACATGAATAGAGGTTTTAAAAGGATGAGATAAAATGAATAATATTTTAAAAATAATTTGCAGATAGCTAGAAGTACCATATCCACCCAGAGGGAGGTTTTGCTCTAACAGTAGGGTAGGTATTCAGGGTTTCAAAGGGCCCTCTTGATAATTTCAGTGTAATTTACCTAATTTCTTGTCACAAAGTAGGTGTACTGTCCCTACACCTACTCTTCCCTCCCCTGACACTTTTGCATGTACAACAATAGTTTAAAAAAATCCTACCCAGGATTTTGTGCATTAACGATGTACAGCTGAACACCCAGGTACAAGACCAGAGAAACAGTGGCTGTGAGAGCCTGGGTCGAGCATCAGCGTGACTGAGCCATGATTCCAGAAGTTTGGGAGTTAGGTAACGATGTCATCATCCTCCACTCTGCGATCTGATGTGATCATCCTCCACTTTCATGTAACAACTTGCTCTCTGTCGCCTGACATTGAAGCCCTAATGTTTTCCCACTCAAATGCTGAGAGGTGGGGGTCGGAGCTTAGGGAAGGGCCCAGCTTGACCTCTGAAGCACCTGTCTAAAGCACTCAGTGCAGTGAGGCTTCCTCGCCCCCCACTGTCATGCCCCAGTGCTGCCTCTCACTTCGGACTAGACCAGAGCACATGCACAGGGACAGATAAGAGATCAGGGCTCACGACACCCGGAATCCAGGAACAGGAATGGGAGTAGCAATCCCAGGAGGGTAGGGGGAATGAAGGTAGGGAAAGCACGGGAGGAAGGGCAACCAATCAAGATGACTGACACATAACCACACCTCCCCCTCTCCGGGGGGATGAACAACAAAAACTGCCGGGGGTGGGGGTGGGGTGGGGGGGACAGTGGTCAGTGTAAGATATGAAAATAATAATAATTTTCAATTTACCCAGGGGTCACAAGAGTGGGGGTGAGGAGGGAGGAGAAAAAGAGGAGCTGATGCCCAAGGGCTCAATAGAAAGTGAATGTTTAGAAAATAACGATGGCAACATATGTACAAATATGCTTGATACAATTGATGCCTTGATTGTTAGAAGAGTTGTAAGAGCCCCCAATAAATCGATCTTTAAATAAAAATAAGTAAAATGATCTGCAGTGTCTACAGACACACTGATCCAGGCTTCTGGGACCTCCTTCATTCTCCCTCACACCAAGAAGCCCCGAGGCTGAGGGCTCGGCATCTCTGCATCTGTCTACAAGACGCCTCTCAGAGGAGCACACAGCCAGGCCAGCTCATTGCGCCAGGGCTCACTTGACCTTCTCCCACCTTCTCCTTCCAGATCCAGGGTGATCCCAGCCTGTGCAGGGACAAGCCCCCCGTCTCAGCTGTCACCATGGAGCTGAGCAAAGAAATGCTGGACACAATGTTAGACGGGCTGGGCCGCATCCGAGACCAGCTCTCTGCCGTGGCCAACAAGTGACCTGGCCACCGGGCCTCAGCAGCCCCTCGGCAGGGGCCATCATCACACCCATAGCCGTGGCTGCCACAGGCTGGGGGATCCCGGCAGCGGGGACAGGGATGGGGACTGTGACATCACTGCCAGGCTCCTCGCGGTTCCCCCAGTCCGGCTTCCTCCTCTCCAAAACTGGTGAGCAGAAGCCTCCCGCGCTGAGTGGGGGGAAATGTGCAGCCTGGTCAGGAGACTGGTCAGGAATTTCCGGCCCGGATCGTGGCACTGAGAAGAAGCTCACTGCTAACCTTCTCCTTAGCTGAGCTCCTGCTGTGGCGCACATGGAGTGTCTGTCATGGGTACCCCCAGCTCCCCCTGCCGCTCCCGGCCAGCCCCATAAGCCATGCCCTGTAGCGCAGCCTGCCCTTCACCCCGCTCCCACCTTCCCTCCAGCAAACTTAGAAATGTTCCCCAGCCTCCAGGTCTGAAATGGGCTTCCCTGAAGCCACGGGAGCCTTCCGTAAGAAAAGACAGCCACCCCACCCCCTGTGATGAAGTTGGAGTAATAAATGCCATTTCTAGCATGTTCACGTTTCTGGTCTCATCTTGTAACTTCTGGTCTCCGCGTGAGATGCTGCCTCAAGCCAGGGCTGCCCTTCACTCAGGAAGATGATCCCAGTCTCCCACCACCACCAGCAGGCCCCTGGAGTGAGCTGTAAGCAGGCCAGGAAGCGCAGCCACATCCATATTTTTCTGTCACCGGAAGCCAGGGTGACAGCACGCGCCCGTTAGCAGGGCTGTGTTGAAGCCTCCCTGCTGCTGCTGTAACATAAAAGCCTCAAGTGCCAACTTTCACAAACACAAGTGCTTATCCTCTCCCAGGTCGGGAGGCTGGAAGTCGGATCCCTGGGCACTGGCTTGAAGGGAAGGCTCTTTCTCAGTCAGTGCTGGGGGGACAGCTGAAAGATGGACTCAAGACACACCTTACACCCGGCACACCTCGTCCTGACAAAGACAGCCCGTTCCCGAGAGGGATGGTCACCACAGGTGGAGACGGTAGGACAGGCCACACATATGGGGGGGGGGG